TTAGAGGTTCAAGCAAGATTAGAAATTAAACAACGTGGTATAAGTAGACTTGCTTTGGGAGCACATCGTAATACCCGAAATCAGGGAGTACAGGGTGACATGGGATGGATGTCACTCCAGTGCAGGGAATCTATCGCCAATATAGAATTTGAGGAGCGGTAAATGTTGATATTAAATGAAGTAAGCGAACACAAAAATATCAAGCAAGTATTTGGACAACAGCAGAATACCAAGCCAAAAGGAAACATCGGTTAAGAAGAATGTGGAGAAAACAGAGAGTGACATGTGAAAGATTTAAATGCTTACGAAATCATCACTGGAGACCTATCGAACTTTAGAGCAGGAAATTGCAAAAGAAAAGATCTACTATAGTTCTCGCGGCAGTTCTCTGCTGTTCTAGGCCAGAACGGGAGCAATGCGGACCAAGACGTACCAAGCCAAAGACAAAGGCGCAGACACGTTATGTAGTGCCTGTGGAGAGGATGAGGAAGTGGCTGAACATTTGATAATGTTTTGTAAAGCAATCCATCCTATAGTCCAAGATAATGGCGTGGAATTTTTTAATGAATTGGGGTTTAGGGACAGTGAAGGCAAAATGGGCTTTAAATTGGTAGAAATAACCAGGAAGAGGCTTACTGATTTTGGCTACAATCAAGACGTGAGTGAAATTAAATCCTTCAACACATAGTGATAATACATAAATATATGGCTAGGTGGCATGAGCCGCCGCCTGATCTAAAGGTCACAGCCGGATACATCCATCCATCCATTCATCCGACGTGACTTAGCCTACTTAAGCAACGGGACACGACGTAAGCTTACGTCATCGGCGCGCAACCAATGGTCAAGAAGGGCGTCCCCTACCCCCCTTCACCATGAGCACGTGTCATAGGGCCGCGGGAAAGAGGCGCGATGCAAGGAGCACCCTTCCTCTAGCGGTAAAGTATCGCGATGCCCCTTTATCTCGGAGGCTGTCCTTCTGCCTATACCACTCCTCCCGATAGTCTCAGGCCCTACAATACGGCACAGTGCAGCACAGGATATCGAAAATGCAGACTTCGTAGCCGAAACTGCATCACTGCAGGGTCAAGGCCCTGTTTCGTAGGAGAAATGGCCAATCAACGACCTAAGTGGTACGTAAACTGCCCATGGGTAACCCATGGACAAGTTTGCGTCACTGCGCGTACGAGAAAGATTGGTCAGGAGAAAGAAACATGCGCGGGAATTTTTTTTTTTCAAAGTGAGCGTCTGCGCGGCGTGCCGTGCTCCAATAATCGGAAAATGTGATATGGCAGTATGTACATTACTGCCAGATGGCGCCATGTCTCACGTAGCAGTAGCACTGGCCGATGACCTCACACAGAACGTCTAATAAACGTTTTATTCTCTCTCTACATACAGAAGCCGATCATCTTTCGGCGTCCTTTGCAGGACAGCACACAGATTTGCTGCAAATTTTTTCTTCTTGTTTTTTCTTTGTCGTCTGTTAGTATACATCTTACAATATCATATTCGCGACCAAAATACATCAATGAAGTCTTGATTGTCCTCGGAATAAAATTATTTCGTGCTAAAAATGAAAAAAAAATCTACGCATCTATACGATGTGAATGATGGCGAGTAGGCGAAGCGAGTAGTTCTAAGGTGGATGATGTCGATGTTGAAATCCCCGACTCGTAAAAGGTGCTCGTGCTTCTAGGTGGTTTATATTGTTCCGTCGCAATTATTATTAATATGAGCCTACCGTTAAACTTCTTTTTGTACTTGTGTGTCTCACATTCACGCATCTCCTCGCTACAGACGTGGACGAACAAGTCTCCACTCAAAGGTACATCGCTCCTAAAACTAGCAGAGAGCGTTACGTGCAAATTTGAAAGCCCATCAAAAAAAAAAAAAAACTGACAGCGGAGCATGCTGGGGATGTTGACCAGGGCATCTGAGGGGGTTGTATTTTTGACGCTAGAGGCTTACGCCTCTAGCGTCAATATTTTAAAGACGATAGTCTTTCTTGGGGACCTTCAACGCAAAAAGTTTGGTCTTTCTGTGCATTTGTCCATTTGTCCACTATTAACGGCCCTGGGTTCTTGAAACGGCCGACCCCATCCACAGCGCCCACCAATGTTGCTAAAGGTTTAGCGTTCATACTTGCGCAATTGGCAATTAATACACACTTATTGCGCAAGTCTGCGGCACCATAACAACATGTATATATTCTGCATGTGAATCTTTTACTGGAAAATGCCTACATAGGTAATTTTAAGGACCGTGGCGCTTATCACGCTGCGCTAACCATGTAATGCTTGCACGAAAAGGTGATTGTTTCCAACGCTTTGCCAAGGCGCGATGGTGGTGGCCCCTACCCGTCGCCTTGCGTTCCTCACCGTATCCCTTTTGAGACGGGCACGCAAACCCGTCTCAAAGCCACGCGCTACGTTTTCCAAGAAGACTGCCAGGTGGCGCTCATGTCTTACGTGTGACGTGACTTGATGCGCTCGTTCTCCTACGCTGCACGCTTGAGGCACTCTAACGCAGCGCCTCCAAAATACCATTCAACGATTTTCTTGCGTAGAACATCAAATTAATCGTTCACTCGCTCTACACGCAAGACTATCATTTTTCGACATTTACGGATTACATGCAGATACGGGGCCATTTTTTTCAGAACCTACAAAAGAAAAGAAAAGAAATGAAATAGAAGCATAATAGGAAATGTGACATGAACATAAGAAGCAAGCGGCTTCAGAGGAGATTGTCTTCTGTATACACTAAGCACGACACCTCCTATTCTTCCCCCTCCTTGGGTCAAATGCACATTGATTCATAGTTAACCTTGAATTACGACTTTTAATAAAACACAGCACAAATCAACTGTGTTGGTTTTTCAAGATTGAAGCCAACTATGTTTAAAATTTGAACTATTTGTCCCAACATTATAGCGTTATGTTGTAGTCCAGACAAATTGTTTTGCTTGAAGTGTACAAATTCGCAATATTTCTCTTGTAGTCGACAACTATAAATCAATGCCTGGTAGGGCATGAAAGAATGAAATAACATCGGAAGGACAACAATAAATGGTGAGAGGTTAATGAGAGGGCCATCAGGTTGGTTATCGTGCTCTAGTAAAAGAGTAAGAGTGAATGAAAAATAATCACTGCGTTCCTAGCCTCTTTTTGCTGGGCAACAAATAACAACTAAAAATTTCTGTAAGTACACACCTCAGCCAATAGTGTCAAAGAAGACCGTAAGTATGAGCATAAATCGTGTATTCCTGGTTACTCATAAAGAACTGGACATCACTGATGCAGGCTGGAATGATGTCCCGTGGCACAACGAGGCCCTGTTCAGCCCGAATCTGGCCAGACTTGCATCAGGTGGCGTCATCCTGGAGCAGTACTACGCGCAGCCCGTTTGCACACCGTTAGTATTGCTCGATGTAGGTATATGCATGAACACTGCGCATCAGGAACGGATATTTAGGAAGGAAGCCTGGCAGTCGGCATGTCACTCGTAAATCAAAGATACTGATACTCTATGTGTAATCACATTCTGAAACGCTTTGCAAGTCGTAGGAGTTTGTTTTCCAACCTTCCCAAAACTGCGCTCATGCTTCGCTTCTTCGTTACAGTCGAATTTATGTAGTAGCTTTAAGCATTCTATTATATTCTATACTTCGTGTTATATTAAGCGCAGGTTCTGTGAACAACGGCGGCTGGATGCGTGTTTACATGACCCGTTAGCTCTGGGTTAACGCTCTAAGTGGTGGTGCTACCCAGCTGCTGAATCTCAGCAGCCCTTTCCCAGCGATGCTTTCTTCACATGCTCACACGCACGGAGGTAGGTTAGCAGGCTAAGGCGTTGAAATTCTAAGCTCGAGGACACGAGTTTGGTTTCTAGTCAAGGCGGCCCCTTTATATGGGAGCAAAATGAAAATTTACGCGCGTGCTTATAAGGTGCATGGTTCAGAACCCTCTCTGGTAAACTTCTGAGTGCCACATTATTGAGTGCCTCGTCATCACATGGTAATTTGGCATGTGAAACTCAAGATAATTCTTTTCATACGGCAGCTTCAGTACTTCAAGGAAGGTAATCTTGCTGGCTGTTTGAAAGACCTTCGCGACGACCGACTGCACGCTGCACAAGAAAGGCTGCGTAACTAATTATTTAACAGCGTCACCGAGAGAGAAGTGGACTCTTAAAGTGGGACGTTTAGTCGCACATGCACAAGACCAATTTTCAAGAAATGTAAAAACAAACGTATTTGGAGTGCCTCCAACATTGCCAATTCAAAGAAACTAGTGAACTGATGAGGGAAATATAAAGACGTGGTTAAATGTCCTTGGTGTACGATGAATTGCATGGTTTGGCTGCTAATGTTTTCCTTCTGTTCAAAATTTAGTACGAAGAAAGAACTGCCTTTTTTGTTCTATATATACACGCGTATAAGTAACGGGAAAAACGTAATCCTGTAAGTGTTGCCGGTCTGTATTCTCTTCAGCTTCCAACACAAGTCATGCAATAACGAATACCCGGACAGACAGAATACAAATTTATTGGGTGGTCTTTAACGCATACTCATTACTCTCTTAATCTTGTAGACATTCCGCTTTCAATGTCCCGCCCCACCGCGGTGGTCTAGTGGATAAGGTACTCGGCTGCTGACCCGCATGTCTCGGGACTGAATCCTGGCTGCGGCGGCTGCATTTCCGATGGAAGCGGAATTGTTGTAGGCCCGTATGCTCAGATTTAGGTGCAAGTTAAAGAACCCCTGGTGGTAGAAATTTCCAGAGCCCTTCACTACGGCATTTCTCATAAGCCAAGGGTGCTTTTGAGACGTTAAACCCCACATATCAATAAATCAAGCTTTTACTGCTGCGTAAGGTATGCGGAATGAGGAACAAATTAATGGAGGGACACAGAGCCTGAAGTAATCACTACGTATATGTTATGTGTTTCTTGTATTCTCAGTATTAATACCATCTCTTCGTCTTGCCACAGAACGAGAGCAGCAATTCTGACCGGCAGATACCCGTACAAACTTGGGCGGCAGGTAAGCACTTCTTGAAGCTGGAATTTCTATCAGCCTACTCTCCAATACACGGAAAACTTCTCGTAACACCATCTTTGCACCTTGTTTCTTTATATTTTAGGGACACGTGCTGGATCATCTGGAACCCACTGGGCTAACAACGACAGTGCCGCTTCTGGCAGAGGAGCTGTCACACCTGGGATACTCCACACATGCTCTGGGAAAGTAGGCACAAAAAAAATTGCAATTGCAGTCACAACTATTAAGCAAGCGCTAGTGGCCAGGGGAAAACATACCAGGCCCGTGTTCACCCTCCCCTCAAATATTTTCGCCATAGCAGAGCAACAAAAGATACACCTACTCAACCGCACGTGCTTCTCCGGCCCGCACTTGAAATCAAAGTGGTGCCTCACTTTCTGTGCCCCTGAAAAACATTTCTGCTAGAGCTAATGCTAGGCCAGTACACTACAGGCTCAGAAGACTCAAATTGTAATTCATGAGTTATCTTAAGCACGTCAAATCATTAGGAAGCAAAGGATCTTCTTCACAGGACAGGAAGTCTGGTGTTGTGTACTCATATATATTAAATACCAAAACGTCATGTAGACCTGACGGTATATCGAATCAATTTTGCGACGATTTGCTGACTGGCTGTCGTACTACCTAGTGATTATTTTCGAGAAATCTTTAAAATGCCACTCGTTACCTCAAGATTGGCGTAGAGCAATTGTTGTCCCAATTTTTAAAGATGGTGATAGAACAACATTGAACAATTATAGGCCTGTCTCACTCACGTTGGTATGTTGCAAAATATTTGAACATATATTGGCAAAAATATTCGGCAATTTTTTACAACAAAATGAATTATTATGCCCATTTCAGCATGGATTTCGTAATGGCCTTTCAACAGTCACACAACTGGTTGAAACCATACCTGACTTGTGTATAGCTGTAGATGCCTGTATGCAAATCGATGTTATATGTATTGATTTTTTCAAAGGCGTTCGACAGAGTTTCACACCGTAAGCTGCTATTCAAGCTTCGCAATGTCGGTGATAGTGAGAATGTTCTCAGTTGGATCAGAGCTTATCTAAGCAATCGACAACAAGCAGTTAGAGTGGGAGGTGCATGTCGGGAAATCGAGAGGTGTATTCGGGAGTGCCTCAAGGATCTGTATTGGGGCCCCTACTGTTTCTTTTATACATAGATGATATATCATCAGTTGTCCAACCACCACTAAACATTAAGCAGTTTGCTGATGACTGCCTAATCTATTGTCCGGTATCATGCAGAGAAGATCAAGTGAATATCATTCAGTGCTTACAAACCTTAAACTTATGGTGTTCTAAATGTTGTATGGAAATTAACATTAAAAATCCACTTACACACACATTACAAAAAAGAAGGAAGTGCTTTCGTTTGCATATAACATTGTTGATAATATGCTGGTGAAAGTCTGTAATTTTAAACACTTGGGTGTAACTATAACAGATAAGTTGAGCTGGCGTCCTCATGTCGATAACATCTGTCAATCAGCATGTCAAAAATTGTGCTTCCTACGAAGGAAGTTAAGCCGAGCCACAAAAGATGTCAAGCTGCTTGCCTACAAAACGTATGTGCGCCCCAGATTAGAATACGCTAGCGCTGTGTGGAGCCCACACCAAAAGGTCCTAAAAAATAAATTAGAACGCATTCAGAGAATGTCAGCTCGCTTTATCTGCTCCAAATATCGAAGAAGGGATTCTGTTACTGAAATGTTAAAAGTATGTAAATTATAATCGCTAGAATTAAGAAGGCGGAAACAAAGGTTGAAACTTCTTTTTCAGATCCTGCATGCCGGGGTGAAAATAAACAGGGATGATTATTTAAAGCATTCTTACAAAAGGTTTCTAAGAACAACATGCACTACATTCATACAACCAATACATGCTCGAACAGATATCTTCCGATTTTCCTTCTTTCCCGATGCTATTATTATGTGGAATGAATTACCGAACGATATGGTTCAAGTAAGAACTTTGAGTGATTTTGAGGTTGCTCTTGATAGGCATTTTGTTAAGAATGTATAGTTCTCAGTGTTCATGTGTATGTTTCTTTAGAAATGTTTCATTGGCCATAGAGATCATGTTGTAAATATATTGAGTGAAAAAGCATGTAACTCAAGTGAGGGTTAACAGTATGACAAATAAATAAGTATATATATATATAAATATATATATATATATATATATATATATATATATATATATATATATATATATATATATATATATATATATATATATATATATATATATAATATATATATATATATATATATATATATATATATATATATATATATATATATATTGCACTTCTCTTGGTTTAATCGCCTTGGAAGCTACTGCGTGGAAAATAAATCAATTACGTGCAGAAAATTTTATTTGCACTCTAAAGTTTGTGGGCTCTACGGCCTCCTCCTTGTAATAGACCTTTACCTATAACAGACCCAGTTAAATTGTTGGTGCTCATTTGTATATACCTGGCTTCCACTATTCTCCTGTTTATATACTCTACCTTTCTCCCCCGTACAAGGCTACCTTAATGTAATCGTCCTGCTTTTCTATGCATATTTTTTAAGGTGTCTCGTTGCGCACAATGGTTACGTTTTATTTTACTGATTTTGCTATGTTTATATATCAATAGGTATTGTATTACTTAAGTTCAAGCCTTTTCAGGATAGCGAACCTGTATCTGCTCTAGCTAAGATCATAGCCCGCCAAATTTTCCCTCTCTTTGCGTTCTGTCGAAATAAAAAGAAAAAACTAGAAAGCGGTGTCACCTGCTAAAAGGCAGCTGCTGTGATGGGTATTTTCATTTCAACTAGAATATCCCAAAACTAACATAACTATTTTTTTTTTGCCTTGAATACAGGAGGTTAAGCGGCATGAACCACCTTACCTTCAAGCATCCACACACTAAACCTATTAAACCTATTCACCTATCGCTCGCGTGGACATTAACCTGCGATATTTTCAAGTTTAAACCGTGACCCCCCCCCCCCCTCCGGTTGAAGAAAAGAAAGAAAGGAAAATAAAAAACGAGAGAATAAAAAGTTAAAAGGAGACAAGAAAAGAAGAAAACAGAGAGAAAAAACTGTCAATTACAATTGTTGATTGCGGGATCTGTTGGTAAAGTTACAAAAGTGAAAGCAATGAATAGTAGGATGATTAGATGTAAGATAGAACAAAGCATGGCCAGTTGACCACCTACGTTTATCTTAGTTATATATATTGTTGCTTGACGAGGGAAAAATAGATCCTCAATTAGTTTTGCCAGGAAAAACATTTCGAAGCACAGTGAATCAATGATGACGAAAAGGTGCACTGCCACGCTCCGCTGCCCTGTTCTTTTTTTCGACTTCTGTGATGAGTTGTACCAAGTATATGTCTAAGTTGTATGTATGTATGTATATATATATATATATATATATATATATATATATTATATATAAGGAAAAAATGTCTATATTTAAGGGCTCGTTTTTTTGCGTGTTTTGACACAATAAAAATGAAATCTAACAGACTATAATGCCAAGAAAAGTATAGGGGAGGTTATAAGACCGAATTTTAAAGTCAATATGAAGAAATAAATGTGGGTGAAGAGATATCTTGCCGTGGGCAGGATCCCAACCTGTGACTTTCGAATAACGAGTTCGATGCTCTACCACTGAGCTACCACAGCGGCTATCCTCCCAGCCACTTCATCGGCAATATGTGAATTTCAAACGTGGAGGTATATATATATATATATATATATATATATATATATATATATATATATATATATATATATATATATATATATATATATATATATATATATATATATATATATATATATATATATATATATATATATATATATATATATATATATATAGATATATATATATTTATATACATATTAGCTTGCGTGCAGGGTTATGTCCTGCTTCTCGAAGAAGATATTTTTTATAAAAGTTTGAAATCCGACTCAGGAAATGTTTAAATATTTTTGCCACCTTTTCCGGTCTTTATTTAAAAAAAGAAAGACGCATGACACAGTGGCTGAAATTCCACATTACATTTTCAGCATAATTGTTTATCAAATTGCCAAAACCTATATTACTAACCCTTTTAAATAAAGAGACACAATCGTGCTAATTTAAAGAAAACAGCACACAATGGAAACCTCTGATGACGGCAAATATAAAAAAAAACAAATTTTTGATATTTAGTAAACTTTCCCGACTTATTCTCTTGCAGATCAGTTCTCACAACGAATAAAAACATGTTTCATGGTTGGTTTCTCTTCTAGCTACGACTTATAGAATAAGGACTTTGCGCAAAGATAGGGATTTGTAGGTCGGCCTTCCTGCGCGCTAAGTGTATGGAATGCGGGCCTATACTTCAGCTTCTCAAAAAGCTAGCAGCACTTAAATGGTGGTCGGCTCCCCTGAGGACGCGAATTTCGAAATGATTTGGTCACGACAGCGGCCATGAGGACATGATTACCGAGCGAGCGAGCCCGCACAGTCCGGCGCGCTCCGGTGCTAAGAGGGCCTGCTGAATAAAACCCTCGTGCTAGACTGAGCACAACATGCAGGTCTGAAGGTTGTATGACATTTTTGATCGTGATCGTCTTTTTAATTTGGCATAATATTTTGTGGAGTAATTATATGTCAATGCTGCAATATAGCTGTGAGAGACACGGTAGTGAATGATTATAAATCAGTTTCGGACATGTTGGTTCCTTGATGCACTGTGGAATAGAGGCGTGATGTATAAATTGGTAACACGGTGAATGTTTTTTTTGCAACAAAATAATTGAAAGGCTTTGAAAGGTAGTCTGCACAATAATTTGACTCAGAGCTATACTTTGCTGCCATGAGACACACAGGAGTAAAGCGAGAGCACAATCGGAGTCAAATGAAGTGTGAGCTGCGGACCATGTGCAGGCCACTCCACTGCCGTCATCTGGGATGCGCGGGCGCATCTGGCTACGTAGAGTTTTATGTCTGTTCCCTTTTGATTTGGCCCCTGGAGTAGCACTTTTATGCTTTTCCCTTAGATCAAAATCAGCGCAGTTTATTTGGCGAAAGCGGCTGTCGTACGCGTGTGGGAAGCGAGCTCCCTCAGCTTCCTGACAGAGTTTTCATCCGGGTTCCACAGCAGCATCACTGAGCGAACGCATTCAAATTTCAACTTCCGCGTCGACGCATTGAAATGTTTCGAATGCGGCTGGGGAACTCGAGCTACAGCCAGCGAATCTGTGACCTTGGCCGATCGCCTCTGTTTACGCGCCAAGCACGTGAGTTGGGATCCTGACAGCCTTGCCCTAGTTACGTAAGTCGCCTCAGAAAACTTTATACAAATTTGTACTGTAGACATGCTTTTGTTTGCCTTCACTTTGAACACACAGAAAGCCACACAGTGTCCTATACGTCTGCACATCTACCTCCACCGTGTAAACAGCGTGTGGCTGCGATGCCAGCAAAGGGCGCATAAAACAGCAACGCTCTGATGCACATATGCGTTCAACTTACTTGGGCTCTATCGCAACTTATCTGTCTATGAACGCGAAAACGAGCCCTCTTGGCACGGAAACACACCGGACTGTGCGCACTTGCTTGCTCGTTAATCCGGCACTCATGACCGCTCCCACGGCCAAATCATTTCGAAATTGGCGTCCTCAGTGTAGCCGACAGTAATTTCAGGGCTGCTTGCCTCGTAAAAAAAACTGAAGCCTGCATTCCATACAATTAGCGGGCAGGAAGTCCAATCTATCATTGCCTGTTATTCCGTCAGGGCCTTATTTGATGGGCAGTGATTGCAAGTAAAACCAATTTATGCAACATATTTGTATTGATTGTCAAAGCTGATATGCAAGAGAATAAGTAGGAGAAGTTTACAGTAAATATCCAAAAAACTTTTTTGTAATCGTCTTAGGAATTTTTTAATGTGCGCTGTTTTCTTCAGTTTAGCGGAATTGTATCTCTTTATTTAACTTTGTTATTATTGTAACCTTTGATAGTTTTTTAAATAAGCGTGCTGAGGACGTAATGCGATATGTTCGCTGCTCAGACATATACCCTTTTTTAAATGAAAACATTCGAAATCGGCAAAAATGAAAACGTTTTTTTTTTGTTGAATTTCAGATCTTTTATCAAGATGTATACCCTACCCCAAAAAAATAACTGAACGCAAGCGATAACTTGCACAGATTTAGGTGGACAAATTTGAGGTTTATTATCTTTTTGCGTAACTCATGAATCACCAAAATCGAAAAAGAAAACAGCCGTGCAGGTAAGCGTGGCAATCCACCTCATGGTCATTATTGATATACTGTGGCTCAAAAAAATTTCAGGCAAGACCAGTGGTGAATTTTCTTCTTTACACTCATCAGACAACAATATATAAAATTGTGAGAAAAATTCAAGAGGTTGACTGGCCTTGCTTTGAGCGATCTTACGTGGAATCGCCCAGTAGCTATACGAAAGTGCAGCGTCTATTACGCATATTTGCTGTGATAGCGGTTTCATTTTTGTGGCACAGGTGGCACCTTGGATACTGCAACTGGTCATACACGCCAACAGCGCGAGGCTTCGACTCGTTCTCGGGTTTTTATCTTGGCTCGCAGGACCACTACTCACACACTGCTTGGGTCAGCAAAGATACGGGAGGCTTCGACTACCGTGCCAATGCCAGCCCCGACTGGGATGCTCGCAACCAGTACTCTTCGGTGCGTCCTGCACTCCTGCCGAAATTGTCCTTCACTGGTTCAGTGAGCTTACTCTGAAGTGATCCAATTCCTTTAATTGTGTTCATTATTCCTTATTTGCCTTGCGAAGTGGTCGGTTAGAAAACACGCTCAAGGGTTCTTCCAGTGTCTAAGAGAAACAAAGGAGCCTTGTGCTCTCCGTCAATCTCTACTATCAGCTTAAGGACTGACCTTCCCACGACGTCGACAGCTGCGGAATTAGCTGCTCTGCGCACGGCACTTTGTTTGGTCACTCAGGAACCACGTCAGCCATAGTCGTTCTTTAGCGAGTCTATAGACTGATAGCACAGTTTTTGGGGCTGCTTTATAAGGCAGCCCCACAAACTCTTCTATCAGCACTGCTTCGCGGGCCATGCGAGCAGCTTGTACTTGAAATTTGACGTCTTCATACAGCCCACGAGGAAGGGCACCAGGTGACATTTGAGTGGATTCCATATCATTGCGGCGACATAGGAAACGATCACATCGATAATACGACTCAGGCAGCTCTTGAAGGCACACAGGAAAATGCCATACTACTTTGAAGGTCTGATGGTACCAGCAGTTTTTGAAGGCTTGCAGAGGTGACCACGCTCTCTCTAATTTCACCAAGCAGTCTCACCATACAGAGCAACCGTCAACACCGCCTGTGTTCTTAGAGGAATCTCAATATGCCAACTGGACTTCACCAAAGCGATTTCACACTGGTTCATTGTTGAAGGTTAGGTGTCACATTCATAAAATTTTATTCCTTTCACACTGGGATGGCCGACAACGCTTCCTGCGATACCTGCCGCAACGAGGAGATGCTACGCCATATTCTGTGGGACAGTCCAGTATATGCTGTTCATAGACAGTCACTGGCGTCTTTCTAGAGTACCATGACAATAGAAGAATCTCTGTTCAGTCAATTATTGAATGTCTTTAACAGAGGGCATCGCAGCTGTAGACGACCAAGGAACTCCTGAAGGTTCTAATAAAAACTAACTTAGACAAGCGGTTGTGACAGTGATGTCGCGTACCACGCGAGCGTGATAGACACGTGTTACTGACTGCATGTTTGTGTGTGTGCTGTGTTACGTGCTTTTTCTCTCTTTTCCTTCTTTCTTCACCCTCTTTCAATATCTCCATCTCGTTCCCACGTGTAGCGTAGCAAACCGGTTTCCCGGGATTGGTTAACGACCCTGTCTCTCATTCTCTACTATTCGTTCGCTCTCTTTCTATACTGGGCTAGCGAGGGCGTGGCATTGCACGCCAGCTGGCCAGTTAGAAAGCAATCGGAAAGCATAAACGAAGTAGAAAGCTAAAATAATCGTTGCGCTGTACGTCACAATCATGATCAATTTCGTCGTGCCTGTCACTTTCGCATACGTTTGTTTGTAGTAAATGACAATTTTTTCAGTACTCTTTCGCTACGATGCAGACATGACAATCGCATGTGGAAGGATATGATCACCTCGTCAGGCCATCATTACTTGCAGTTCTGACTCATTTACTTTGCAGGCATGATTGTGCTGTTGATCTGGCCCCTGAGCATAAAAATTCGCACACTCGTGTTTCCTGCTGCAGAAACTCCTGGCGGACAACGCAATCAAAGTGCTGGCCGATCACGCAGGCCAAGATCGTCCGTTATTTCTGTACGTGGCCTTCCAAGCCGTACACGCGCCGCTCGAGGTCCCACCAGAATACGAAGTTCCCTGCACCAAGTACCAAAACACGAACCGTCGCATACTCTGTGGCACGTACACTCTTACTTTATTTCTTTTCTGATGAACTTTCTGACGTTGGTGGTAGTAGGAGGAGGCTACATGCAGCTTCTGCCTGGCAAGCTTACTAGGGAATCGTTCCATGCCTGCAGCTTCACCGCGAATGCAGAAATTAACGGTCAAGCGCACCAAGCAAAATAGCGTCGCAGAGAAAGGCGAGCAGAAAGCGCAATTTCGCCTTACAATATCGGGCTCTTCCCGTTATTCACATGCTCACTCACTGCTTAGGTATACGACGCTTTTTCATTGTTAATGCTGAATTGTTGGGCCATTGATTCTAGAAATAAAAGAAAGAGCGCAGTAAAAAGCTGTAACATGTAGACGTTAATCCCATGCGAGTAATTACATATTTTACTAAAAGCGAGAACTCTCAAAGTACACAAAACAAGGGAATTGCACAGCCCTATTGCGTCTTTCCGGCTCTACCAATACTCTTTAGTTCAGTTTTGAATATTTAAAGCCAGCACGTTTATGTATATACTTTAAAGGCATATGAGAATAAAGATATCTGGAAATCAGTTTGGCGAAGCTCCCGTATTCCTTGGGTACATGGAAGTGCAGGAAAGAAAACAGAGTACACGGATCAAACAACAAATATTAACAGTGCCATCAGGACAACCAACTTTAAGCAACACATTGTGGTGACAGAGCTATACTACAACTAGACTGTGCAGAAAGAAAATGGAAAATTAAGGGCTCATTTTTCGTTAGATTAAATAGTAAAGAGAACTAACGGACAATAATGCCAATAAAAGTGTAGAAGATGTTATTTGCAGAATGTGTAGTGTAAATGGGAAGAAAAAAAAAAGGGAACGAACAAATAACTTGCCACCGGCAGCAACCGAACCTCCGACGTTTGAATGACGTGTCCGATGCTCATCATGACAAATCATGATAGCATTTGTTTTGTCAAAATAAACACAGTCCTCTTCCAACTGTTATAGCGCTGTCCAGATACTACAAGAAAGCCAGATAACACAACAAGAACGATGGTTTATTCAGCCACTTGCATTTATACTAAGCGCATGTTACGTTGCAGTGACGTGCTTTGATAAGACTGCATCGCGCTGATACATCACCAACTATATAATACAAAACACGTCGGGCAATAACCCTACACATTAAAAATGATACGATGTGCCAGACAGAGTAAATGTGCATGCTTCATACTTTGGTGCTCATTTAGAATATTTACCTCACAGGCCATTGTCTGTAGAGAGCCATTAGAGTTTTTTTATACTCTCTTGTAATTGAGCATACAGCATTGATGCAAGATACCATGCCACTAATCACATGTAATATACTTTAATCTGTCACGATATTGAGAGAACGTGTTGCTTTAGCTGAGAAGCTCTCCTTGTTCACCAGCGTAAATTGCTAATTGCAAAGCATTTCTTAGCGAAATTCGGTGAATCTATCTATCTATCTATTATCTATCTATCTATCTATCTATCTATCTATCTATCTATCTATCTATCTATCTATCTATCTATCTATCTATCATCTATCTATCACTATCTATCTATCTATATATCTATCTATCTATCTATCTATCTATCTATCTATCTAGTCGCTACGACATTTAGCTTTCCAGTCCGGTTTGATAATGGAATCCATACCGAAATTGGTGTGGCATAACATGACTATATGACGAGCATAAGTGAATAATCTTAACATAAATATCATGACATGTATGCCATGATTGTCATGATTTAAGTGTTATGTTCTTGCTGCTCTTGCAGTGGTTTCGTTCACATGACGTATTGCTAAACTTTTATGGTATGCCATGACTGCATGACTGCGCTCGCGGTCGTTTCGCTAGCTTCACATGTACCAAATTTGGTATTACGTGACGTGATTGGATGACAAAGGTATATGACCGGTGCAGACATGATGACCATGACATGCTTGTCATGTAAAAACATGACTACATGCCACGCTCATAGCGCACTCGCAGCCGTTTCGCTAACTTCATATACACCAAAATTGGTATTATGTGACGCGATTGAACGACGAACACATATGCGAGGCGCAAGCATGATCATTATGACATGAAATTCATGTATGGCATAACTTACGTCCACCTTGTAGTTTTTGTCTTGACTTTAAAGTCACGTATCAGCCTTCCTCAATCGTGCTTCGCATATCACCTATTCCCACTTTACTTGGAATCTGTCAATTTTTTTTCCCTGCTTAAAAAAGGCGAAATTTATATTTTTCGCCTTTTTTGTGTTATATTCTCATTCTTAGATAATGCTTCATTCGAAAAGCTCATACTGCATATTCAGGGCACCATGCCGATGCAAGGACATGAAACACTCTACACGAACCGACAGACCTTTCTTAGGTGGTATTAGAAAGAAGAGATGTGTGAAGCGCCTCCATAGTGATAACATTTGTAAGTAATAACAACAGAGAAAGACACACTTCAAAAATATTTTTTTATTGTTTTCAGGCATGCTGAATGCACTAGACGAAGCTGTAGGAAGAATCGAGAAGGCTCTTCTGCACTACGGATACTGGAATAACACGCTGCTGGTATTTAGCAGTGATGTAAGTAATGTTCACTCTTAACTAAATGACCAGGTAGTTCTATGGCTCAAACCAAACTAAGAGAAACAAAACAGAAAGTCAAAGAGAAACTAGTGCTGTGAAGGATTCAAAGCGTAGAAGATAAATCCCATTAACTCTCACGTGAGTTACTTTAAAACTCTTATAATTGGGCGACAAAGATATTGTAATACGCTTATTTCCCGGATCGGTGGTTGTTTCTCAATGAAAAATAATGAATTACTCCGTTGTCTTTGAGAATCAACCCAGTAATCGCATTCTGAACTTTTCTTCTGCTTATAATCAATTTTTTTTAATAACGGCATTTTCAAATAACACGTGACCCCACCACCCATGCTATTGGACATGCCCATGCGGTCAATATAAAAATATGATTGTCTAGACAAAAGGCGGGAAAACTGGAGAAAAGAAAGGCTTCTTTTTTTTTTCTCTTCCCTTCGCATGTTAGCCTCCAGCTTTTGTTAGATGCGAAGCAGCTCTCCCTCCATACGAGTGACGTCACGCGCCCCTTGCTGTGCGCGCTGACGTCACTCTTTCGCCTTTCGCGCGCTGGCTCTGCTACCGCGAATGCAGCTCGCTACTCCACCGACTCGTCAGTTCACGTGCAATAAGCCTGACGCGCGCCTAACAAACGCGTTGAAAAATGGCTCTAAAGGTTACCTCTTCTCACTTCACCCTCTCCACCACTCGCAACGCTCGAGCGCACATCCAGTGGTAACACTCTTTCGGCTCGTTTATCTACGATAGAGAGGACGCCGGAAGACAACACTCCTGCGCTCGCAGAAATTTCCGCCGATGCAATTACGCCTTACCCAGCCGTCGCCGGCGTTGCGAGGGTTAGCGAAGCCGAGCGCGTTCGCGAATGGCAACGTCGTTTACTCGAGTAGATGCTACCGCGTTTCGCATTGAGCCGTTCTTGCAGCACCTGCGTCGACGCCCGTTTCAACGTGGTCAACACCCGACGCACCGCTGCTGCTTCGCATCCTATGTTTGGAGAGACGGTCCAAGCTTTATTTCCCAACTTCTTACCATACGAAGCTTTGAACTCAAAGGTTAGCGAAGTCGTGCGGAGTTTACACGATTTCGAAGTTCGTGTGGTATACTGTATTTTGACAGATCTCTGAGTGCGCAAGGGACATTTAAAAAATGTTATTTAAACAATATGGGTTATGTAAGCGGGTTTTCAGTTTTGTGTTTTGTAGGGCGCCAACCATCAAATCCAAGACAGTTCTGATGCAACAGTTGTGTAAAGCCACTTATGCTTGGCTTTCATACAGGAAGCACAATTCGAAACCCTACGTGGACTATGAGAAGCGAACGTGGTAGTTTCTTAGCTAGCTACTCTTATTTTAGTGTTTTTCCTATTTCTTTACTACCAGATTAGGAGGCTGAACCTTTTTGAGGAAACTTCTTGGTTTCTTTTTGGATGGTGGAGAAACTGCAGGTATCAATGTGGCTTTCTGGCATCGTTTTACTTATGATAATAGATCGCGACACTATTTTTCTTTGAATCCTTGATACAAAGTCTCAACGGTGCAATCTTATCTTGCATAGGAAACAGGAAAAGAGGGACGGAGTTGCGCGTGCGCTAGTTGCACAAGGATTTGGGTCGCACGTGATGTAGCTGTGGGCCCGTTCAGCCTGAACGAGAATAACAGCGATGGCAAAACGTGCTGTGGCATACGAATCAATCGTGAGGGTATGCAAGTACACAATGCGCGTGCGTGCATGCACACAACACATTCTGGTACATTCTCGCTAACGAGCTTCAAACGTCACGAAGAAAAGAAGGAAGGATTGACGTGGAATTAGTTCGGTGCGCTGGCCTTGTAGAGTGGCTCCTGTAACGCTCGCTCCAACGTTCCTTGACACCTCTCTGCTGGCGATACCGTTGATTGGCTTGGCACTGGCCCATTAACATATCATTTCGTGGCAGCTCTATAAGCGTAATTCGTATTTATCAAATCGGCATAAAGAATCGACTGATTGTTTGTTCACCGAAAAACTTTACGCTCGTGACTTATTTAATAATGTCGTCGGGGCAGTAATATTTAACGTCTTGAAAAAAGCGGAGATATTTTTCTTTGTAATATAGTACTATATACGGGATGTTGGACATTGGACAAATGTAACTGTCAGTGCTGTCGCTCTATGAGGTAGGGTTCTCGATACACAGATCACTTATGTGTGAACTCTTGTTAAAGCAGAATTACGAAAATGTGTACCCTCTAATGTAACGTAAAAACGTATACGAATAATGGCGTACGGACCACTTAGCTGTGGCCCCGCCGTGGTGGTCTAGTAACTAAGGCACTCGGCTGCTGACCCTCAGGTCACGGCTCCTGATCATCAGGGCTGCATTTTCGATGGAGGCGTAAATGCTGTAGGCCCGTATGCTCTGATTTTGGTTCACGTAAAGAACCCCAGGAAGTCGAAATTTTAAGACCCCTCCACTACGGCGCCTCTCATAATTATATGCTGGTTTTGGTATCGTAATACCCACATATCAATCATGACTTAGCTGCGAAAAAAACACGCTATCGCACGAAATTCGCGCACGATGATTTACCAACGTTTGTACTCGGTTTCTTGCTACTGGAGCTTTCGCGCAATACTTCAATTTTTCTTTTGCTGTTGTGCCTAACATCAAAACTAGAATCTCAATTTACAGAATGGTGGACAAATTCTTTTCGGCGGGAACAATTGGCCGCTGCGGGGAAACAAGAACACCCTGTGGGAGGGTGGTACCCGAGTGCCGGCTTTCGTAGCAGGACCAGTACTCAAGAAGTCCGGCTACACAAACAACAAGTATGTTGCTGCTCTTATGAAGCAAGTTTCAAGTGGTAAATATAGTAGACATGCTAACCTTACTGATATAATTTTGAGCGGAACACAGCCTGCAACAGAATAATAAAGCTGCAAACAGGCTTCCTTTTCTTCTTTCTTTCTTTCATGTCAGGGCGGCAGAGTTAAGTGGAATACCTTGAACCCATCTTATTTCTGAAATATTGACAGGCGTCGTGAAAACCCTACACTACTACCTTTACAGCTTAAAGCGATAGGTGGTCTAATAACTTGCATAGCCCGCCTTCGTACGTAATGTGCCATGGTACAATAAAGCAGGTTAATATAATTGGTCTTGCAATTTCAATTTGTGAAATTTGTGCAAATGAAGTCGGACAGACATGTCTTAGTCTAGCTCGTCTTCGTGTCCCTCCTCACTTGCGCTGATTTTGTATACTGTAATCTGAAGAGTTAATTGTTTAATATGTTCACAGAAACTTTTATATTGCAAAAAAAAGTGGCGAGACTTCCGGTTGAATGCCTGTCGGGCTTGAACTGTTCTTTTTTTCATCTTACTAAGAGTACAACCACCTATAAATAAATAAATAAATAAATAAATAAATAAATAAATAAATAAATAAATAAATAAATAAATAAATATTTGTATTCTTCATTGTTCTTATTAGTATTGGAGGTATCCGGGATTTACCATTAAACGAGACAACCCGCATTTTCAAAATCACTTCGACTTGGGTGAGTTTTCAAGTTATTAGATAGGCTTCAGCGTGATTAAGACGAGGACCATAGGAGACACATAGAACACAGACGAGCGCTGACTTACAACTGAGTTTATTTGCACTTGAACAAGCATTTTTATGCGCCAAAACCTGCTTGTATTACCTACATATACACGCAACATAAAAGACAATATAAACGGAACCTAACATCTATAAGCAAAAAGAATATCTTGCTCTTTTGTGCATGGGTAAAGCAGGCCGGCTTTGCTGCATAAAAAGGCTTGTTAAAGTGCAAATAAACTCAGTTGTAAGTCAGCGCTCATCTGTGTTCTGTGTGTCTCCTATGGTCCTCGTCTGAATCGCGCTGAAGCCTATCCGTATTTTCATTTATTTTATGATACATGTCAGACTAGTTCTATAAAACACAAGCCTCGGTGATATATACTTCTTTTTGGACACTGTTAGCAACAAGTCAACACAAAGAAGTGTTGCTTTTCGCAGCACACGCATCATGCTGTTAGACCTCTGTGTCTATATGGTTGTGCATCACTTGTCGCAGAGTAGTGCACGCGGTCGACTGGTTTCCGACCCTGTTGGACGCGGCCGGCAAGAGAGATGAGCCCGGAAGCATCGACGGAGTGAACCAGTGGAAGGTTTTGAGCGAGGATGCAGCTCAAGTGCGCCACCGATTCGTCTACAACATCCGAAAGCGCGCACATTTGGAAGGAGCGATCAGGTTTGGGTCATATTGATACGCTCTGTTGAAAGATATCATTATGTCTCGATGTGGAGAAACTGAGTTACTAGAAACAAACGTTTGTCTACATTTATTCAGACTGCTCGGTATCTTTTTGGGTACACTTCATTCGTGATATTGTTGTCAAAGACACGGACAATTCTGCTTCCTATAATGTAATTACCCCGGTTTGTGTGGCATAAAGCAGTTTTTAAGGGGCAATGGCACTAGATTTTTGAAAATAATGCGTGTTCTGTGTGTTCATTATTGTGCGTTTACAAAGAACCTGGCGAAACTTTAATGCGTTTGTTAAACAAAATAATTATTTTCCATTGACCGTATTTATGCAAGCACTAATGGTCCGATAGTCGAGCAACACTGGCTGACTGGTCAGCCATACACGACCTAACAAGCTGCTTTCTCTGCGAGTGTCTGCATTCCGGCGATCGATTTAGTTCTGTGGTCAGGTGCGCGTGCAGTTGAGCTATTTCAGCTTTTCTTAAACTTGGCTTAAATTGAACAATTTGCACCGAGAAAAACTTTGGTGGCTCCGCTCCATGCAGCGCATCACTCACGCCATTAGAAAATTACGTTCGCCTGTGGTAGGCTGGGTTTATAGACTTTTCCGTAAGACACCTGGGCTCCGCCATCTTTAGCTTGAGTCGATGATTCCTTGTTTTGGAATATTTTTTTATTTATTTATTTATAATACCTCAAGGGCCCCAGTCAAGCGGTGTTACATGAGGGGGTAGACAGTTCACAAACAGATGATTTGTTCGATGGCTTCTTTGAAATGGGCGATGCTGGAGTGGTGCACGATGTCAGCAGGAAGATCGTTCCATATCGAGGCGAGAATCAATGAAGGTAAGAAACATCGTAAGCAAACACCCAACCGTATTGATGCGTAAGCGTCTACCGCAACACTTTGAATTTAGCTACTGAAGGTAAGAAACACAAAGGATAGCAGCCCAACATGGTCGCACTGAAACCCACGCGTTAAACAGTCTTATCTACTTGTATATACATTTATATAGGGCTTATTTTGCACTGAGGTATTTTTTACAGTCTATTTTACAAGCATTTACAGGCACAATAAACTTTCTATTTCTATGCTTCCATGAAAACCGCAAACTGTTCTGTGACAACGTCATGGCCCTCTTCATGCGGTCTGTAATTAGCCCACGTTAGAGTTTTTAGAGCAAATTTTACAAGCATAGTATTAAAAATGTTGGGTGCTGGCGTGCTGGCTCAGCGACGACTACGTAGTTGACATTAGTCGAAAGAGGTGCGCGGGAACCGTGGAATAAATCAGTAACTTCAAAAAATCTCCTTTGTTTTTATCATACTATCCACAGCTAAAGTTTCTTTGGAAGAACAAGTGCTGTTCATAAAGAACAGAAGAAATAGTGATTACAAGGCTGCGTTGTCGAGTCTCTTCATTGAACTTTTACCTTCGCAGGTCGGGTCTTTCACTGTCGTCTTTGTGCCTTCACTGTAATGAGAGAGAATCTTTGGAGCACTTTTTTTTTGTCATGCCGAAAATTCAAAAGTCAAAAGAAAAAATTGCTAGAAGAACCTCTACGAAAGTTGGACCTAAACTTGACACTTCGGGTGATTCTTTCATTTGGTGCAATTGCATTTGGTTTCAGCCACAGGAGCGCTTTTACCGCTGTTACAAATTTCCTACGAGAATCTAAAAGAATGCAATACTAAACATAGATAAATTTAGTTGTTTTATGTATAGCCTTTTTCTTTTTTGTGTAAGTTTATTATATGTTATCCTTTTCAAGGCTTTTCTTTGTTTCTTTGTTTGTTTGAAATCCAACACCATTAAAATATTATTTATAATAACTATTGAATTCAACCCTTCCTTTAAAGAAGTAAAATAATTTAAAAATTAAGCCATCGTCCCATTCATGCCCTATCCCCCTTGGTGGTTTGCGCCACGTTGTTGAGGAACCAACCAACCAACCAAATAAATTCGTTTTTGTAGCTCAATATAGCAGATGCTCATTCTTTCTCTGCCTCTCCGCTACAAAAAAACAAAAACAAAAACAGGCAAGGTATTCTTTTAGGAGTACGTACAAATATGCTACATTGACTGTAGAACCTGTGGTCATCCGCGAATCTAAATTGAGAGAAAACCTTCAAAAACATAGCACAATGTAAATGAAGTTTGTGGCCAAACTAGCACTTTTTAAAAGTGATATAAGAACGTACCTCTTATGAGCATGTTCTCAACAGAAAACTTTGTGATTCCCGAGTAACCATTTAGCAAATGAAGCTAGAATGTTACATTGCCCCCAGTTTGACTTAAAGTCAACCTCATGAACTTTTACCTCTCCATACGGTATATCACAACTACCTCGAGATGTGATATGTATCGATACTATTTTGACAAGACGTGAAAAGTAGTGCTGACACAAACTTTCCAGTTTATGGTTTTCCTCTTTAGAGGGTTGCTTGTCTCACCCAATGGTTAATCGTTGACAGCTACAGCAAGCTTCAGAATCGCACCGATTCCCCAGGCAGCTTTCTATCAGTGCGAGAATACTGGTGCGATTGAGCATGAAAGAGGACTGTTGCTGGGTTGAGGCAAGGGCGCCCTGGACGAGCCATATGCCTCCAAACGTTTACTCCAGATCTAGACGCCTCATAAATTGCACAAAATGAGAACGACGGCAAAGCGTTGTAATTGGTAAAACCAGTGAAATATGAGATAATCTTTCCTCGACGGTTACTGCTCAGACCAGAGCATACACATATGTGCTGAACAGAAATTGGTCGCGTGCTTTGGATAACGTGCGTGCCACAGCGTTCATGCCAGCACCCCACCTACGTACTGCCGGAGGCACCATTTCGTTTCATTCATATGGATTTGTGGTTATTGCAGCCAAAGGCTCTTAGAAGTGCTCTCACGAGCAGCGAGTTAGTCGCCCGTGTGCCGTAAACACGGCGTACGTTCACAGCACGGTTCATTTGATGGCAATTCAAAAGCGAAAAATAATTGCACGGCGTTATTTTCCCGTTGAAGCTCGTTTCTTTTGGTTGCAGCGTGTTGCGTTATATATGCAAAGTATGTACGTGTATAGACACACTCACGCTTATATATGTGGACGTGTACGCACTGTGGTACTTTTTTTTCTCAATGTTCATCAGGAGCAACGTTAGGACTTCTGCGTAACATGAGCTTCATTTTAAATGCCTGTTGTTTGACGCAGTTGTATTCATTTATATTATATATGTGTCATTGTGAAAATAACGTATTTGTTGGAAGTGTGAATGATCATGATATAAACACATTTGGAAGTATTTAAAAAAAGGTAATTCCTTTATAATGTAAAATTCACGACTCCTTTCTCTGTTATGTTGATAAAGATCTAGGCCCAATTCGTCCAGGGAACCAGGGTTAGCACAAAGTGTTGAAGAAATTTGCATTTTCCTGAATATATAGTAATGTTCTCGTGCTCACGCAGAAAAATGATTATTATTCTCCCTTGAATAAACAGGGTGCTGTACTGTACTGTACTGTACTGGAGCAGCAGGCAAGATACCTGTAATTAAAGCGCATAAAAGACAAAGCCAAGGCGTTTTCACTTTTACTAGCGCTGTCCACTTGCGACATGAACTGTGCCTCATGCATGACCTGTTTGATACTTTTGTTTAGAGACGGCGACTACAAGTTCATCTTAGGTGACGCTGGCCACCCGAATGGCTGGTATCCGGAACCTGATTTCGATGAACATTTTAAAAAGCAAGACTTCGGGAACATATCGCGTGCCCTCTTCAATGTTCGCAGTAAGTAAAGAAGTAACGGCAAATATCTTTATGCTGTAGCTCATCAGACATGCATCATAGTTTCATGTTTCCTTCTCTTTAGCGAACGCAATACTTCAACTTGTTCTTAGCTTACGTCTTTATGTCCTCCCTTCACTTTATTATCTCAGGAAGTAGATTACCCTTTATGTGTAGGATTCATTGATGAAATGATGCCGTGGGCGTCCCTTTGAAACTCGGTGGGAGCCTGTGGGCCACTATGCTAAATGTATAGTTTGGTCTATTGCCTCCCCTATCTGACTTGAATATTTCATATTAAAAAGTACGATTTTATAGGTGATCTTTTTCTGCCTTACTGCAAAGCATAAGTTTGGTTTCGTGCATATTTCTTCTTGTTCTTGCTCTCTTCTAGTCCCTCACCAGACTTGCAACCGTCTTTTAAGAATGTTCTGTTATATATTCGTCTTTCTCCTGATGTCTCTAAGGAAAAGATTTCGTACAGGCCAGTGTAAGAACGAGAGCACGGGGAATGTGCAGACACTCTGATAAAAGATGTTTGGACAAACTAAACTATATTTTTGGTGGACCTCCCTTTCCTTTTTTTGGCACCCTTTTTATTTCACTGTAACAAAATAACACACCATAGCAGCTGCCTTCCCCTAATACTTTACCATTCAGATATTTGTCGTTTTGAAAAATGAATAAATAAAGTGCTCACATGTTGTACGAATCAAGCTAAGTTGTGATCACTGTTTGCAAAGAATGCTGCCTCCTTTTTTTTTTAGCGACTGTTCCCGACTAGACAAGACACGACCAAGCTAGACCCATATTCGCTTGAAGCCATTACGAGCACTCAAAATGAGCTTGTGGCGCAGAGCGGCTGAATACCAGCTTTTCCATGCACACATGCTCTATCAGATCTCCGCAATCTTTGGCCTGTGCAATACAGTCTTTTGTGGCCTGGGTCATATCTGTTGCGTTGGTTATTAGCGAACTTGACTCCTATCTCCTTCATACATGCAGCCGACCCGGAAGAGAAGCATGACCTGTCGTCGTCGCAGCCACAGCTCGTAAAGTTGCTCGAAAAACGGCTGCGGAGGCTCGCGCGCAGCATGGTTCCCGAGGACAACCCAAGCGCCGATCCACGCGGTGACCCTCGGCGGTGGGGCGGAGTGTACACGCCCGGGTGGTGCATGCCGCGCAGGTAGCGCGGCAACTTCAAGTGACGAGTGCGCAGATGTGACAGCTCTTCTGAGACGAGCCCGTGCCCCAGTAATGATGGAAAACGCGAGGATATTGAGAGACAATAAATACGTATAGACACAACGTATTGTGTCGTCCGCCGATTGTGTCAACGTCCGCTTACGACACTTGAGGTGCGATGTATTTGAATAGCGCTTTCTTTGCACAAGAAAATCACGGCAGTCGGATTGAAAAAAAATTATTAGCGCAGTTTGCACTAACTCACGTAGGGCTACATCACAGCGGAGCTAGTGGGCCCCTAGCCGGTGATGGCTTGGCTAGGCTTTTACCCTCTAACCTCTCCCTTTCCCACCACTTGCTATACTATACTTTACGTGGCTATGCTTGCCGTTTTTCGCATCTGTTTTTCGTTCTCTTACTCACTCTTTCTGTCTTTCTGTTTCTCTTATTTCGTTCTCTTTCTCTCAATTTCTTGCTTCCACTGTATTTTTACATCTTTGTATCTCCATTTCCCTCCTACTTTTTGCGCTATGCTTTACTTTCTCCCCTCCTTCTTTCCCTCCCTCTCACCATCCCATACCCCCCTATCCCTCAATTTCTTTTCTGATTCCTTTGTCATTCTACGTTATACTAGTCTATATGCTATACTATCCTGGCGTACTTTTGAAACCGAGCGTCTACGACACTCGCCTGCGGACTGTAGGTAGGGGGGCTTGAATCTCGCCAAGAATTATTTTTTCATTAAAGTTCTCTTTCTTTCTTTCTTTCTTTCTTTCTTTCTTTCTTTCTTTCTTTCTTTCTTTCTTTCTTTCTTTCTTTCTTTCTTTCTTTCTTTCTTTCTTTCTTTCTTTCTTTCTTTTTTTTTCTCCCTCTCTCTCTTTTTACTCCTTTTCTCGTCCATCAAAGTAATTGCATCTCACAACGGACAAAACGATGCACGTGTTTTGTGAGCGAAGCCGAATAATAAAAAGAAGACGAAGAATATTAAGGAAGCATGGCCGGTTCATAAGATCGGTAGCTTTTTATCTATGACACACGGCAACCTTCGATGATAAGAACTTTGCTGTTAAACGGTTCTTTTTCCCTTTATGACTACACTTTCTCACCTCTTGACCATACCCACGTGCGGCCCCGCCGCGGTGGTCTAGTGGCTAAGGTACTCGGCTGCTGACCCGCACGTCGTGGGTTAAAATCCCGGCTGCGACGGCTGCATTTCCGATGGAGGCGGAAATGTCGTAGGCCCGTGTGCTCAGATTTGGGTGCACGTTAAAGAACCCCAGGTGGTCTAAATTTCCCGAGTCCTCCACTACGGCGTCTCTCATAATCATATGGTGGTTTTGGGACGTTAAACCCCACAAATCAATCAATCAATCAATACCCACGTGCGAGGTTCTCAATATTGCTCAATATAACGGTATAGTCTCTGAAGGATGCTGGTTTGAAACATGACGTACTTATTAAAGGTTTGTCATATTGTTTATTTATTTATTTATACAATACTGCGGACAAAAAGTCCAAGCAGGGTGAGCATACATGAAACACACTAAATAACAGAATGAAACAAGGTTGCAAAGCGTTTTTTACACAATTTCTTTGCTATAAGACAGAGGGGTTATGACTTAAAAAAAGTAACAATTGAACAACAAGGTCATAATACAATTCAAGGAAGTCATGGAAGAAGAGTATTTACACAAATGGTCAAGGGCGTTGAGGAAATGCTTCGGTTAGTTTATTCCAATCATCTATTGTTTGTGGGAAGATGGAGTACCGAAAAGTACCAGTCCTTGCGAAGATTGGCGTTAGGGAATAAGGATAGTGGTGTCGAGTGGGTCTACTTAACAAGGGAGATACGTATGCTGCGGTGTCTAAGGGTAGCCTGTGGTTCACTATGTCTGAAAGAAACTGTAGCCGACTTTTTTTTCTTCGAATTTGTAATAGTTCTATACCATTTACCGTTAGTAATGCAGTAGGGGAGTCGGTTGGCATAAATTTACTATATCTGAATTGTACTGCTTTTCTTTGAATTCTTTCTAGGTTTTGAACGTTAATTTTTGTGTGGGGATCACAAATTATGGAGGCGTACTCAAGTTTAGGCCTAATTAAGGAAAAGTAGGAGAGGAGTTTAACACTAGGCGGAGCAGTCTTGAGCTTGTGGCGGAGAAGGCATAATTTACGTAAAGCGGCAGAGCAGATGTTATTTATGTGCAAATTCCAGGATAAGGTACTTGTTAACGTTAAGCCTGAGCATTTATAGGAGGCTACTTTAAGTAAAGGTGCTTCAGCTAAATTGTATGTGTAGTCTAATGGGACTTTTTTGCGCGTTATGGGGAGATACACACATTTGTTTGCATTGAGAAGCATTCCCCATTGTTCACGCTATTTTGATACATTGCCTAAGTTAGTATTAAGATCACATTGGTCACTAATGCAGGTTACATCTCTAAACAAAACACAATCGTCAGGAAATAAACGAATTTGTACCGGGGTGCTAAATACATTGACAATGTCATTAATGTAGACCAGAAACAGAAGGGGGCCTAGTACGCTCCCCTGTCATCGTAAATCAGATCCAGGAGATCTTTGCGGGGTATGAAGCAAACAATTGCCAGTATATCCATGGTGTGAATGATGGAGAGTGGGTGAAGCTCGTACTGCAGGGTCCTCGTGGCACCGCCACGCAGAATCACGGGTAGCTCCGGCCTCCCACGCTCGTACTGCAGGGTTCTCACGGCATCGCCGCGCAGAATCACGTCTAGCTTCGGCCTCCCGCGCCCACACGGCTGGGTTGCTTCTTGGAGCGCGAGCCACCGCCGCCCTGCGCGCATGCCGCTGGGCAGCGTTGTTCATCCTCCGTCGACGAGCCTCTGTTGGCGCGTGCGCCAACACGGCGCCGCCGAAGAACACGTGATCGCAGTGGCGCAAACATTTCTCTCTCCTTCTGTACCTGTGATGTAAATTCTCTTTTCACAAACCTCACTTTTCATTATTATCTTTCCTACAAGTAACACCCTTTAGTAATGTACCATCTGGCATTTTTCAGCGTATATGCATTCGTTATATAGTACAAGTACCACCCTCTACCGCCGCTTCAAAAATTAACTGGAGATGAGTACATACGGCAACTGGATGCACGAGCCACGCCTTAAGGAGCTTCGCTCCTAAAATAATCCAGATCACGTTCGAGCTGTGTGGTTTCGATATGAAATATCTGGGCTTGCGATATTAAAATCAGGGTTTTCAGATCTATACTGAAGCAAGGTGTGGGAGCAGGCCAGTTGGTGTTCCATGTTTTTTTACAGCTGAAGGGCAAAAAATGGTAACAAAGGACTTGTGCTCGTTGTCTTCTTAGTCGGTAAAAAGGTTTAGATCTGGCGCATAACACGGACGGGTGCAACATCGCGACAGAATGTCTGACAACGACCGCACGACTGTGTTGTTGAACATGTTCTCTTTTCATTGTAAAACGACGCTGTGAATACGTGAATAATTTCGTCGTAACTCGTACATGTAGCGCTAGCATGTATAGTGGGGGATCACGAACAATGGCAACATACGTTGAAGCGTTGTGGCATCTAATCTTTAATCTGCCTACACTGCCGCGTGCCGTATACCCCCCGCGCCCGCTTCAGCTTCCACCTAGTGATGCTGCCGCACCATTCGCTTCTTCCTTGTCTGTAGGAGGCATGCAGGTAGGCGCACAACCAGAATCTCACATCTCAAAAACACCTGAAACTGAAACTGACATACATACATATTTTTTTTCTGTTGATTCCGAATCTAGCTTCTTTGGCCTTCCAGCACTCGCCGCGGTAGCCCACTGGCACTGTCTTTCTATGCAATATTGTCACCTTCATCGGGGTGTCTAGGTGTGCGCTAGCGATGACTATAAATGCCACTTATCTTCCTGAGAGGCACAGCACAAATTAGTGATGAAGAAGACGTGCTTGGCGGCCCTCTCTTGTAGCGTTTCTCCGAGTACGACACCCAGTACTACTTTCCTGAATAAAACCACCGTGGTTTATAACCCGCGACAATAATCTAGAGTTTTGAGTTCATGGTTGCAATCTAGATTCTACAATTCTGGTTGCCCTAGCAGCCTTTTCCTCAATCTCTCTTTCTCATGCGTATATCAAAGTACAACGCTTATAGTCTTCGAGAACCTCTGTTTCCTTTCCTTTCTGATTTGCTGAAGAAAGCAGAATATTTTTCCCCTCAAAAGTGAAAGTGTGCTTCCTGAAAAGGCCTTGTGACATCTCTTAGTGCAGGTATCTTCATCAATTCTAACAACGTGGCGCTGCTTAACATGCACTGAGTGAGCTTTGGATGAGCATTTTTTCATACATCCTATCTCCAACATGACACAAACATCGCATTTAGCAATCGAACCCGCGACCTTGTGTGGTTACTGCAGAGGGAAGAGGAAGAATCATTAGGTCGAGTGACATCGGTCATGGCCGTCAATTTCTCCGAAAGCCGTACCACAAGAAAATATAAACGTCTATCGAGATTGACGCTGACGATTCTGTTTACGGTACGGCTGCCACACCAGTTCACCAGCGCAGACAAATATGTTCAACAAGAAAAGTGGCATTGAGCTTTATCTTGATGTCGCCCCGACATTGATCAAAAATAGAAGCCATGTACTACATTCAGCGTATTTTTTTTTTAAGTCGTCACCATTTCCTTGCCCCAAGACTTCAGGGAAGCGATGACCATATAGTTTACCCGATATACGGGAGCGTTACTGAATTCCTTATGAGTCTTCGCATACTGATCATGGAATCCGGCCATGGAATCCGAGCATCAAACAACGGACAAGAAGCAGAACATCAAAGACAAGAAGGTTTTATAGGGGTTTACTTTGCTGTAAGTAGCCTTATGGGAGCCGTATATTTGGAATAACGAAAGATGACTACGGTCTCGAATGAGGAGACCGCTTACGGCTGTCAATACTTGGCATTCGGGCTTGCTGCGATGACGAGTCGGCAGCAGCGTTGGTAGTCAGATGGCCAGGGCTTCCGAATGTGACTGCAGCGTCTTCAAGATGCGCTGCGGAAGTGCCGGATGCTAGCTAACCACAAGGGATTTCCAAAAAGGTCGCTACACTTGCTGCTTGGATTCGG